GCACTGCTGTTGTTGTTGTGGCAGGAGTCGTGCAGCGCTATGGTAGCCGCGAGGGTTGTTGTTGTTGTTGGTGTTGCGCACGCGGTTGTTGCTGGTGTTGCGCGCGCGGTTGTTGCTGTTGCGCGCTGTTGTTGTTGGTGTTGCGCGCTGTTGGTGTTGCGCGCTGTTGGTGTTGCGCGCTGCTGTTGGTGTTGCGCGCTTTGCTGTTGGTGTTGCGCGTTGTTGTTGTTGGTATTGCGCGCTGCTGTTGTTTGTGTTGCGCGCTTTGCTGTTGGTGTTGCGCGCTGTTGTCCCCGCTGATGTGGCGGGCGTTGTTATTGCCGGTGTTGCGCAGCGCTATAGTAGCCGCTGCGTCTCTCAAACGGGGAAATTTTCACGAGGCCGCGCGACAGCAACGGTGGTCCATTTACTTGTGTTTTGTTTTTTACCCGTTCCGAATGGTATCGGTTGTCAAACAAATATGTAAATGGTTGACTGCAGAGTTGCCAGCGGGTTTTTATACCTTTGCACTGCGGGAAATTAGTTATTCCCGTTGTAAGAATAACGGGCACTGCGTCATTTGGACTGGTTCCGTTATTCTTCCACCGGGAATTTGACGCAGTGCAAGGAGGAATGTCAAAAGAATGTTCGAGGCTGTCCGGGGTTACCATGACCCCGTTGTGCAATTCCGAACCGGTTCATTTTTCACTTTTGGTTTCCATGTATTTACTACGGCGGATGAACAATCATCGGGCGAAACTCAGGATAAGGCAGAATATTGTTGGCAGTGATAGAAGTGAAAATCAAAATGGAATCTGATAAATTTGGAAAAGAACATACGTTACTTGCAGGTTATAAAATAGATGTAAATTTAACAGTTTCAGCAACACACAAAATAGAGTTTCTGCACGAGCGTTTGTGTGGTTTTTCACTTGTCAAAATTTTCCTATTCGTTTGGCACAGCCAGATACTATTTATTTGTACACTGTAGCAAATTTTCCCCCCCGTATCACCGTGGATAAAAGTTGCCGGTTGGCACACATACTATATCGGAATATCGATAATGTTTCCGCCAGAATGTTTTAGTACAAAGGGAAACATAGCTGTCAAATTACCAAGTTATCGGAATAGATGCCAAGATATAAGCCCTGATATGTATTGTGCCCCACATTCCAACAGATGTGTCAAGTTATAAATTCCATCCTGTGAAGACGGCAGTTACAGACAGCTGTCACCAACTATCACTAGCCTCCGCTGGTAAACTTTTGTTAACCATAAAAAAGTGGGCGAACAGACCTGAGGAACTAGTGACAATTAGCGACACCCGTCCGGAGGGAACACAGCTATCGCAAAATGGCAGACATTCCATGCAGTTTTGGTGTTGCCAAACGCTCTAGAAAGATTATCAGATGGTGACATTTATGGCACGCTACCGGGTGCGCTATACGCCGAAGAATAAAGTATTTATATTATTAACCCATAACAAACCTGCTTCACTTCCCGACACGTCACGGAAGCGAACAGGAAAACTGTCTTTTGCAAGGCGTCCGGCGAGAGAATTGGGTGGTAAAATCACAAGAACGTGGGGCACGACTCACCCCTGAGATATAGAGTCTCAGAAAAAAAAAGAATTAGTAATTAGCCGGGCAAAACAAATAATACCCCTTAGTTACGTCAGGTGACAGTTAGGGTTCGTCAGACTCGGTACATCAATAAGTTTTAGTTCTATGATACGGGACCACTGGAGTTAATGCTTAAGCTATTTTCCCGACAGTATTCGTTTGTAATGCTGGGTGCATCAGTTTTGCCTAGTCGGTCTCCGGAACAATAAGTCTACTGATTTAGTCAGTACTGAGTCGGCTCCTATCATTCTTGTATTTGCAATCAATGAACTTAATGTTTTAAAATGTTCAATTCCGGGTTTCGGTAAGTCAAGGTGGTTTTCGTACTTCTGGTAGAAGAATTAATAGTTAGGTTAGAGTTTGCTTAGCATACTAGACTCGGAACTCAATCCCGGTTGTGACTAAGTATGGGTTGAGTTAGCGTTCTTTTCGTAATGCTTGAGTCAGAATTATACCGAGTAAACTCTGGGAAAAAAATTCAAGTCCGGTGTTGCGGTGGTTCTCTATTGTTTTAGGCCAGAGAAGCCTACCCCCCATAGTGCCGAACTTAGTCGGTCTTTACACCCTGCCCCCCACTAGTTCAACACCGCTAAGAAGAACACAGGGCAGGCTGTCCTAAAAAGGACACTTGGCCGCGAGTTTATAGCCGTCCGGCGGCTGGGAAAAACGTGTATATATTTATTTTGTTTCCTATTCATTATGGCTTTGCCGGCCAAGAGACATTTTCTTAAAGGAGAACTCGACAAAACTCCGAAAGGCATTAGACATTTTGATAAGGAGAACTCGTCAAAACTCCGAAAGGCATTAGACATTTTGATAAGGAGAACTCGTCAAAACTCCGAAAGGCATTATAAATTTTGATAAGGAGAACCCGTCAAAACTCCTAAAAGACAATCCTAATGGGAGTGCGGATTGTCAGGCAGTTCACGACTCCCGGTGGGAGCGCGCGTGAACGTCCTATGAATATAGATGCTCGGGGAGGATACTGGGCGGTTTGTCCCCGACCGCCAAAGCGCCCAGTGAAAAGGACAGTGCGAGAAAAAAAGATACTCTATTCACATTCGTTGGCTAGAGTTAGCCACCCCCCAATTGCCGAACTTAGTCGGTCTTCACAGTACGGCCCCTCCGCTAGTCCAGTAGCTCGTCTCTGTCTCAATTCTCTACCAGGGCGAATTTATATCTGGATTCTCGCCTTGTTCTCTACTGCTAAGGAGTAGTAATGAATGACGTATATTCTCTACCAGCAGAGAAATAATCGGTAGGGAAGAGTTACAGAAGCGAGTTACAGCCCTACATGACTTAGCTTCGAGGAAAAGCCATGCAGAGTTGGACCCCGGGCAGTCTGCGGGCGGTCAAGGTTTTACCCTATCGCTAAGTTTAATATTTGCAAAAACGTGTATATAAAAAAAATTCGGAAAAACGTGATTATTAATATTGGAAAAACCTACTTTACTTTCGGATCGCTCTTCGTGACGGATGACATTGTCACGGCCGGATGTCAGATGCATGGAACCTACCGATCGGTTTGCCATTCAAGTCCTCTAAAACGTACAAAGCATTGCCTACCTTTCGCAGAACACGACACTTGATATATTTAGGCAAAAATTTAGCATTTATGCTTTGCTTAAAATTGCTAAGAGCGAAGTTTTTCCGGAATACTTCTTGTCCTTCCCGGTAATTCACAACCCGCGTACGTTTGTTGTACGTGTCCGCTGCTCTGTCTTGCGCTAGCTCAAGGTTCTTTCGTATGTGTTCGCGAATGTTTGCTAACTTGTCAGCTCTGCTTGTAATCGGGACTTCGTCTTGTCTTAGGCTACCCACTTTCCCCAGTATGCTATAGGCTGACGCATGTTGTATCATATTTTGTCCAAATAACGCGAAGTATGGCGAGCTCTGAATCGACGTATGGTAATCGCTTCTTAAAACCGACAGAATTTCGGATATGTGTTTGTCCCAGTCCATGTGATCTTGCTTGTCCTTCAGGAATATTCTAACTTTCGAAACAATCTCTCTGTTCACTCGTTCAGAGGCGTTAGCCTGCGGTGAGTATAACCCCGTCTTAATGTGAACAACCCCATAGTTTTCAAACAACTGCTGCATCTCCTTCGAAATGAATTGCTTCCCGTTATCACTATGGACGAATTGAGGGACCCCGAAAGCTGGAAAAATCTCTGTACTAAAGCTGATTACATTTGCCGACGTCGCGTTTTGCATCGCCTTCAAAAATACGTATTTGGAAAAGTGGTCTAGCACTATGAACAAAAACTGGTTTCTTCTCTTTGATCCTGGGTATGGTCCTAAGAAGTCGCAATAAAGACGCTGGAATAGTGTCTCGGATACAAAGGCATTGCCCATAGGTGGTCTGGATACTTGATTGGTGGCTTTTACGGCTTTGCAGGTTTCGCATCGATTCACATAAAGGCGTATGTCCTTTGCCATTTGCGGCCAAAAATATTTCTGTCGAACACGCTCTAAAGTCTTCTGCCAACCTCCATGGTAACTAGCATTGGAATCATGTGAGCATTTAACTGCGATCTCCGTCAGCCCTTCCGGTAACCACAAACGCCAGAGCGAATCCTCTTCCTCTTCCACACCTCTTCGAAACATTTTTTTTTTGTAAACTCTATTTTCGACTATGCGTAAATCGGGTAGCCCTTCTTGATTGTTTTCAATAGTTTCACGAAGCTCCGAGTACTCTACGCCGTCGAATTCCGGTGATGCCAAGTCAATTTCTAGAGGTGGGATAGAAGAGAGATAGAAGCGACCATCTTGCCAGCCTGCCACTCAAGTCTTTTTGTGTCATTAGCCACTTGAGACTTGAATGGTCAGTAATTATTCGGAAAGGCAATCCTTAAATATATGGTCTGAAACGCTTGACGCTAACTATTGCGGCGAGGCATTCCAGCTCGGTGACCGTATAATTCCGCTGAGCATTATTAAGCTTCTTCGATACAAAAGCTATGGGATGCTCTGCTCCTTCCTCATCGAGCTGGAATAACACGCCTCCTACTCCTATTTTGGATGCATCACATTGTATCACGAATTCTTCAGAAAAATCTGGTTGTGCCAGGACAGGTGCTGAACAGAGTGCAACTTTAAGCTTTCAAAATGCTTCAACCGCCTCAGGAGTTAACTTAAATGGACCAGACGACTTTCGAAGGCAATCTGTCATTGGACCCGCCAAATCTGCAAAATTGGTAATAAACGACCTGTGCCAATTTGCCATTCCTATAAACCTGCGAACCTGACGAGGAGATTTTGGAAGCGGAAAATCCTTTATTGCATCTATTTTGCCTGGGTCTACTTTCAAACAACCATTCCCTATCAAGTACCCGAGATACCGAATTTCCTTCTGGCAGAACTTGCTCTTCTTTACGTTGATAGTGAGTCCCGCATCCCGCAAGCATTTCGCCACTTCCTTCAGCAATTCCAAATGATCTTCAAAGTTTGAGCTGCACACCATCAGGTCATCCAGGTAGACAAAGACGTTCTCCCGCAATCGTGAAGGGATAGCCTTATCCATCAGCCGATTCATTGTTTGTGGTCCGTTGCACAGGCCAAAGGGCATTACTTTAAAGCGGTCTTTTCCTTAGACGATTACGTTAATTTGATTTGAAAGAAAGCATCTTTCAAATTAATACCACTTATAAAGTATGTATCCTTTAACCTGCTCAACAGCCCATTAATATTGGGCAACGGATACGAGGCCTTCTTGGTGACCGCGTTCACCTTCCTGGAATCTATGCACAGCCTGACTTTGCCTGGTTTCCGGACTAGTACCACGGGACTACACCACGGTGAATTCGATTCCTCAATCCCTCCCATCTTGAGTAGCCTTTCAATTTCGCTATAGGCTTCTGCCTGCCTGGGTGGTGAAAGAGGAAAGTGCTTACTTTTAATTGGCACCGCATCACCCGTGTCTATACGGTGCGTCACTAAACTGGTTTGACCTAGTCCTAGCCTTTCGAACGAGGGAAACTCCTGAACAACTTCTTGCAATGCTACCTTCTGATCTGGTGTGAGCTGATGGAAGCTTGGCTCATCTTCATGTGGAAAATCTAAACAGGAAACGCTTGGGAATATATCGGGTGCTAACGCAAATGCCTTCCAGAAATCAACCCCCAGGAATGCTTCTTGGATTAATGACGGTACAAGGTAAAAGCGAATAGTCCTCGTAATATTTTGAAAAGTGACCGGTAAAGATATCGAGCCGAGTATTTTCTGCTGATTTCCACCAGCCGTGTAAACAAACGCGCGCAAAGAATGATATTTTAAATTGTTTCTCTTTAGGAAATCTTCGCATCCGTTTCCAAGAATGGACACGTTTGCTCCGGCATCTAATACACCCACTACGAAACTATCGTGTATTTTAATCTTTGCTTGCGGTCGTTCGTCTGGCGTTATAAGAATTTTAGTGCTTTGCAAAAGTTAACGCATTTTTACTCGGCTAGAATATCTTTTCCTACACTGTAGAATATTTTCTGAAACTACAAGTTTTGGTTCTTCTTCGAAAATATTCGCCCTTATCCGTTCGTAATCCTTTTCTCTTTGCTCTAAACTAACTGGGAATTGAGTCTGGCATGCGATATCCCTACGTGAAGGCCTAAGAATTCGAACCTGCAGAGGATTGGCTGTAGAAGAAAACATGCACTCGGAATCAGAACTATCGGAACTATCTGGGAAAGTTATGATGACCCGTGCTGAAACCCTCGAGGGACTGGTATTACTCTCCGAACTACTGACACCTCCATGCAAACGAACGGTTCTGGTTGGGACTGGCTTACTTTTTGGTTTAGTACAGGAGGCTGCTGCTCTTGTACTCCCTGCTTCGGGGACTAGGGTGCCGAACGAGAATCTCCGATTGCCTTCTCGCTCGGGTTCCGGTTTCCCTGTCTCCGATGATCTTTGGGGCATCTTGGAGTGACCACCCGCTTCTGTCCACACTTGAAGCAGAACACGTTCCGCATGGCTTCCTCGCAATAGATGTAAGAGTGTCCCATCTTGTCACAGTTCCAGCACTGTATTGCTGAGTAGTCCGGTTTCCTAGTCCTCTGGAAATTCAACGCTTCCACTTGTGGATCCACTTCTTCATCCATTCCTCCTGTCCATTCATCCGGTGTAATAGCCATGGGTTCGTTGACATGCCGTCCTGAATAGTTCGGTACCAAGCTCCTGGTTTCCTTCAGGATCTGTTCGCCTTTCCTAGCAACGTCACGTAGGTTATGTAGGGTCTGCGCACCAGCATTGAAAAGCATCAACTTCAGGCTGCTGCTAACGTTCCTCTTCAATATGTCCATCAACAGGTTCTCCGACATCGGCTCCTTTAGTCTAGCGTTCAAGGCTAATATATCTGTATGAAACGTATCATACGATTCATTAGCCTTCTGACGACGCATTGAGATCTCCATCATCATCTCATGGCCACTCTTTAAGGTGCCGAATTCCCGCTTGATAGAATAGCACAAGAAGGGATAAGTCGCATCTGGATTCTGCTTAGTGAACAACCAATACCATTCCTCAGCTCGCCCTGACAAAAATAGGTGGAAACTTGCCATCATCTGCTCATCTGTACATTGCTTGCGCTCACACAACGTTTGAGTTTAAAAAGAAAGTCTGAAACGCTACCGGTGCCGTCATAGGATACCTTCCAATCCTGTGGCTTAGTGACAATATTAGTGGTGAAATTTGCTCGGTTATTCAAAGTGGCTTGTGTCGGATTGCGTCCGATAGAAGCAAAGTCCCTGCACTTAATGCGTTCATATTTTCCCGCATTGTTCTCATTTCAGCTCTCATTTCTTCTTGCGAAGTACGCAAGAGCTGATGAAGCACGCCTACCCACGAATCTCCTACAGGCGCTCCGCCATTAGAACGTCTACTTCTATCTTCTGCAATACCTTCACAATACCTGGTATTCCCTGGCAAAGACCTATCATTTTCCTGTCTTCCCGAAAGCATAGTCATGGAGGTAGCCGAAACATTCTGGACCGAAGTCCCAGGTGGTGAGGTGTCAAGTAAATTTGAGCTTTGACGGCTATCAACTTTAAGTCCCGGAGCGGGATTGGCTATTGGAATTTGAGGCGGAACTCCTCCCGTCTGGTCAGCAATAGGTGAATGCATCACCGGAGGATTAGTTGCTGGCATAGCAGGAGTGTTATTTCTCCCGGCCCCCTTGACTTAACGCCGCTACCTCTCACAGAGCTACTACGCGTAAGCCTTTGCTGCTGTTCCATACAGCGAATCGACTTCAATTGGGAAATCAAGAAATTTGAGTACTAAAATCGAGACCAGTTCAAAATTAAAATCTTAAAGTGTGCGTAAGGCTTGGCTCCCCAAGAGGTCAGAACAAAGTCGAAACTCCGAGAAAGTTTTTTTTTTTAATAAGGCTTGCTTTGTTAGCTTAAGCCAAAAGAACGTCCGAGAAAGTCTTAAAAAAAAAAATAAATAAAGGGATTTAACTAAGTGGCGCGATACTGCTGTACCCAATCGCGAAAAAAAAAAAAAACAAAAAAAATCGGAAAAATATCAAAATGAAAATCACCAATCCAAAAATAATTATTCAGCCGCGTACTGAATATAAATATACGCGAGAAACAGCAAAAAAAATCGATCAAAATATTTTTAGTAAATAAACATATAAATTTGTTAGCTAAATATACGTGATCATATACGTGGATATAAAAGAAGTTTGTTTATAAGTGGGAAATATGTATATTTTCAAAGTCAATGGGAATGCTGACCCCCCCTAATATTAGGAAGGCACTAAGTAGTCTACGAAAAAAAAAAATAAGGTACAAAACAAACACAAGAAAATTCGCTGTTTAGTCCAGTACACCCAACCGCAATGCAAAGCCGGCATAATGGAATGCCCCTCCAGACTTGAAGGGTGTACTGGCCTTCTCAGTTACACCCCACCGCAATGCAGCAAGGGCAGTTAACCATGCCCCCCTGAGACGTGTGGGGTGACTGAGACCCCGATAGTCAGCGCTGGTTGGATTCCCCAGCCCCACCCCTTCGCGATACGTAGGCGCTCAGGAGCACCAGCTCAGACCTATGGAGTGAGCTGGGGCCCTAAAGAAAAATTTAACTATAGACATTTATTATTATCACGTTTTTTTTCCAAAAGAAAACCGCAAGGTGAAAAAAAAACAAAAAAAAAGTATTCGGCAAAATAAAACTACTACAAAAACTATTTAAACTAAACCCCACTTAGCGGACTATTTTTCCCCAATTCCCATGCCGACATATCGGACCACTGACAAAAGCGGAGAAAAAAAAGTCAAACTACAAAAAAAACTAAGTGCGTTTAGCACTGCGTCACCGGGTGAATACAAAACTCCGGAGGACGTGACGTGAAGTCTCGGAGAAGCCTTCGGTTGCTGACCAAGAGGACCGATCCGAACCAGCACACTCAGCTCCACTCATCCCGCCGCAACGCAGCAATCACATGCCCCCCTGGGACTTGCGGGATGGTGAAGCATAATGTGCCAATCAGGACCAGTCAACCTGACCAGACCTCAGGCTACCCCGTTGGGCGTCATCTGTTATGGTCCGCTTACGATGGGAGCAGCAGTGAGTGCAGGCGGCATGACACAATGGGGTGCACTGTGGCTAGTCATGTCGGCTGGGCGGGGTTCTTGCCTCACTACTGTTCCCTGCGCCATAGCAGAGAAAAGTCATGCATTGTCAAACATCCCAACGGACGGACACACAGCAATTCAAAATTAAAAAAAAAATCCGTTACAAAACAAAAAAAAGTTGAAAAAGAACGTTAAATTTAAAATTTAAAATAAACTGAAAAGCAAAAGAAAACAAAAGCCCAACCACGAAAACTTACATGAAAAGCAAATGAACAAAACGGAAAAAAACCCGTGGCCGAATATGAGGCACCACCGCTGGTATTGTGGTGCCTGGTGCTGGCCCACCCTCATCCGTGGCTGCTGGCGCACCCTAATATCAGCAGCCCCATTTCTGAAATCCTATCGTGCCTTCTCAAATAACGGAAAGAGTCAGCATTCCCATTTTAATAACAATTTATTCCGACAAATTCATTTTCTTACGGCTAAATTAATCCTAAATCTTAAATCT